GGGGGGGGGGGTACTGTAGGGTTTAAGGTTATGGGAGCTGAGAAAAGAGAGTTGCAGTGCAGACTGCTGAAATCGCGTGTTGCTCTTGGGTATCTGCAAGACTTCCGATTTGAGTCTGGATATCTTGGAGGTGTATGTCCGAGAAAGGACCTTTCAGGTCTGAGTCATCAGCCAGGACCCCCCAAGGGCCCTTTAATGGAGCCTTTGTGGCTCTTGATAGTGGGTATTTAGGGTCTATTAGAGGGTAGTTGGAAGGTTTAGGAGTTATCTCATTTATATCCAGTATATAGGAAGCAACAGCCAAAAAAGCAGCCATGAAAACATGGCTCATACCCCTGGAAACCAAACGCCCAGATTCCCATCATACCCTTGAACCCTGAAAGCCTCAACCTCTTCTGCACCCTAATCCCCGGAAGTGAAACCCTTAGCCGATTGCGAGCGGAGCCTGCGAGATTCCTCTTGGACGCCGGTCTGCGAACTAGAGCGGCGGTCACACCCGATCGAGCAACTGGGTGAGTTTGATCCGACCCGAGTGCTTTTTGAAAAAGAACATGTAGTCATTTGATGGAGCAACCCCTGATTCTCATTGGGGGTTCTTCACGTACCTGCTGAACTGAGCCCGGCAAAATCCTATGCGTTCGCCTTATTAAGGAATACACCATAGGTCTTCAACAGTACGGATCCTATATCTTGTGAGTTCAGAACTCCGAGGTTGCCTCTAATGAGGTTCAGATCTGCGTTTTCATGTGAAGCTATTCGAACGAAAGAGGAGTTCGTCTACAGCAGGCACCGGGTGACCGTTTCTCACTGCAATCTCCCTCTGTATCATCATTTTAAGATATGAACGGTTGAAAGTACGGTACCTCAGACTAGACCCTGCAACTCCAAGCCGCAGCCCACTGCGCTGCTTCCGGAGCGCATGGGTTCATCTTGCCCAAAGGTTTCGGGAGAGTTTAGGGCTTCAGTGTTTATGGTGGGGCGTGCCTGTTGTCCTGTGCAAAGCACGGATATACAAGTCTTTCCCGGTAGAGTCGCTGCAGACCGGATGCAAAGGGTTTATGGTGGTTTGGAGTTCAGGGATCAACCAAGGACTGTTCAGTGCCCTATATGTAAATCGCATTATTACTCAGCTTAACCGTTTGTGCCCTGACCCTCACCTCTGACCTCAGAGTATGCAAAGACCCTCAACAAACCCAAAAGCCTTGCATGTTGCATTGCCGACTCGTTTCCTCCGCCGAAGACTGGCCCACGACTCAAGCAATAAAAAGAAGCACCGCAAAATATAGGGGCCTGAATATATACCTATACTATTTTGGGGCTTCCGTATTGTAAATAAAGTATAGTGGACCCCAAAACCCTATTCTATTAAGGCCCCTACATTACCTTAGTCTCGGACCGCCAACCTGGATTGAAGTTGAAAGTTCGTCCTCACAGTTCCTGCTCGAGCCCATGAACCCTCAAAGGTAACGACTATCATACAGCGAGCAACTCTAGGATCCGGGAGCTGCTGCATCTACAGGGCTCCCAAGCCCTACCCTAACTCATGAGCCCTCACCACTCAATCACTCCGAAGCGTAAACTCTTAACTTAATAACCCTAAACCACCAAAACCCAGTCTGTTGTTCTCCCTGACTCAACCCTGCAATGCGGGCTCGTCTTAGCTAGGTGGGAGGCAAAAAAAAGCCCTGAAACCCAGAAAGCCAAGGACCGCAATGCGCCGTCTGCACTGGCCTTCGCCGCAGGCTTTCGGGCACTGGCCGCTGAGCTCCGGCATATGGAGGACCTGTTGCTCGAAAGCTTATCAGGCTCCTAAGGGTTTAAAGTTTGAAGCTTCATGGGGTTTAGGGTTTAGGGGCCTGCATAGTGATATAGTTATGACTGGGAGATGTTGGATGTAGCTTTCATCCTGCAGTGACACTGCTGTGCGGTTTTTGGTGCAGTAGAGCTTGTTTACAAGGTTCAGGTTTTATCAGGCTTAGTGTTCAATGTTTCCCTTGTGTCCTTCGGTGTGGGCAGGTTTGCTTTGGATTCTCTGAACTCCCGGCTGTGGAGTTGGAAGACTTTATAATGAAAAAGGGCGAATGCCTGGTTTTGTTGTAGGTTTACCTACTTTGCAGATCTACTCTTTGCAAGCCTTGAGTTAAAACTGGTGTTCTTCCTTCTTGTGGCAAAGCAAGGTTGTGGCTGACTCCCGCGCTGTACGTCCCCTTGAAAGAGGCCGAAGACTATCGGACCACCGACGAATCCGTTACGGACAGCTCCTCCGCCACTGATGCTGAGCGCAAGAGCTGATCGAGAGCTTTATTCCCAGATCAAAGGCGGCGACTCCACCATCCTAGATACGCAGGTCAGGAGCCTTCTGACAAGGGCCAGCTGGTCTTATGCTCACCTTCATACTTCCATCCACTGTCTGATTCTGGGCCTGAGGCTTGCCTCCATTCCGACACATGGTGTAGTCAAACCGCCAAGCCGGCATTCCAGCTTGGCAGATGTCGACACGCGACCGTCACCACGAGATGCACGAGCTTACCAGGTTGGTGCGAACGGTGTGCGCTGGCTTTTTTCCTGGGGGACACCGCGAGTGCAAGTCAGTTGAGGCCAGGTTTCTGGTCGGTCTCTCACGGCACAGTTCTCCTGGTGCCGTGCAAAGGACGACAACTCGGAAAAAGGTAGGGGTTATCTGGTGCGATAGCTTTGATTGCTATAGTTTGCGATTATGTAGGTACAGTCGACTTCTCTACGCACTAATAAGACCAAGGTTGTCGACATCCTAGGCCGACTCCACTGTTCGAATCAATCCTGTGGGCTACATCCTTTATAAAACACATGTACGCTGTACACCTGACTATCTAAAGGGTTTTGGGGTTGAGGGTTTAGGGATCTAGACAAGATCTGACAAGGGCCGTTGCAAAAAGGGATCTAGACCTATCGGTCTCCGGAAATGCGGCCACGACGGGCTCGAGCCGTTTTGGTGCACCCACAGCGCCCTCCCAGCGCATCAGCTCGGCGTCTGCCTACCTCTGAGAGAAGCACCGGTCTTCCAATCCAGGACAGGGACCTTTGGGCCGATGTAGTACCATGTCATGTCATATCATATAAGATCAGATCAGGTCCGGTCCTATCATATCGTATCAAATTATATCACATCACATCATGATTGTATGAATGAATGCATTTACTTGCATATACATCTAGTGTATATATATATATATATCGCTTTCGCTTTCGATGGCACGGGGTCCGGATTCGGGCGCAGCCTAACAACGTGCACTAATTAAGGGCGGTGAGGTGAAACGACGAAGGAAAGAAACAGGGTCCTGAAAGTTGGAAAGAACTTCGAAAGGGTCCTCTCGACTGGTGATCGGCGCAACCCTCCGGATAGCGGTGAGTCCGGGGCAGTCGACATCTGCAGTGACAAGCAGAGCTGGGACACCACATTGCCATAGATGAAGGACCCCACGCACAAGATCGGCAAAGAGACGCAATTTACGCAAGAGACCGGAAGTGCTTGACTGGAGTCGGCACTCGGAGGGATGCCAAAAGACCCGTCAAACAGAACCCTGTAACCTCAGATGCGCCAGCCACACCCCACTTCCGAAAGTCCAGAGAAGCGGGCCGCTGGAAGCATTGTTCATGAGAAATCCATTGGACGAGCCCAGGGGCAGGCTGGCCAAGAATTACTCGATGTTGAGAAATAAATCTCAAAGTTGCCTCATTGTCAACGAGGCAGTTCGGCAGGGCAACAGCCGCAAAAGACAGCCAAGGAAGCAAAATGGCACCATCACGAAAGGTCGAGTGGACTCGAGAATGATCACCGGCCTCTGGCACTAACCATTCCGCGAAGTCAACGTCACAAATGGCGTCAGCGGCACGCTTGTGCCATGCTGCCCACTGAACAGAGACCTCCTCGTTGCCCTCAAGCTCTGTCGCAACAGCATGACGCCATGCTTGAGCAGTGGCGCGAAGGCGAGACTGCTGCAAACAAACCTGTGAGAAGGCCGCACGAAGACCCTGCCACAACGAGCCGTAGTCGCGGAATCTGAGTTCATCACCAAAAACCTCGACCAATTCATCAAGTATGACCGAGTCGGGTCTCTCCTGCTCAGGAATGAAGCCGGTGCCGTCCCATTGCTGAGCCGGACCGCAAGCAAAGGTGGCAGGGAGCATAACATCGCGACCATCCTTGAAGGCACGACTACCTCTACCCGGGGCAGTCCCACAGCACTGTCCGCGCTGAACCAATGCCGCAAGACACTCGCGTGAGTGTTCCAGGTGGTTACTCAAGTGAAAGGTAGAAGCGAATTGCTTTAAGCAAACCTGACATTGACTGCCTTCAGCGAATCTTCTCGACTCACGGACGCGGCCATGGCATTTGAATGCATGATGGCTCCAACAGCGCAGATCCTGGAACCGCTTGCCGCATGGCGCACAAATCTGCAGACCCCCATCGGCCTGCAGGACAGACCGATCGGCAGAGGCACCGCTAGCAAGAAGACTGCGCAACAGTAGGCCATGAAAGTGTTGCACCTCAGAGGACCAAATTTCCCCAAGAACAGAAACTTGCTGTGCCTTATGGAGCCATCTCTTCCAAACAGCAGGTGGCCCCGTCAGAACATCTAGCAGAGCAGGCCACTCATGAAGTGATGGCTGCGCTTGCCCAGCAGCATCGAGGCAGTTGGCAAGCCAGGTAATCGACTCACGGACAAGACTGCAAGATTGCCCAAAATTCTGAAGGCGCAACTCGGACGACAACGGCAAGGTGCCTGAGGCGTTCAAGGTGCAAGAGAACACCAGCTGAAGGCAGTCGAGCTACAGAGAGAATCTTACCGGCACCCAAATGACACGAGGACTCAAAGTCGTAGGTGGGACGGAGCATCTGTCGTGCCATTGAGACAAGCACTCCCTGAAACTTATCCGTAATACCCTGATCGTGAATAGTCCAAGCCCCAACACCAAAAAGGAGTCGAGAAAGCACAAGGGACTGGAAGAGGATGGATTTGTCCCTGTGGGAGACAGAAGGAGCTCAGAAGATGAGCTTTCTGTGCTTGCGAAAGGCTTGCAAAGCCTGGCCAATTCGGACCTTAAGCTCAGAGGCAATCGAGCCAGACCAGTGCAAAAGCCCGCCAAGGTGTTTGTACTTTGGCACAATGCGTAGCCGAGCACTAGGCCACAGCACAGATGGCACAGAAACAGAAGGGTCAGAGTCACGGAAAAGCTCCGAGCGGGCCCGCCGAGATCCACGGCCAACAAAAGACAACAGCGCTTCAGACTTGCCTGGGTCAAGGTTGGGATGCAGCAATGCTTTCAGACACTCATCAAGGAGTGCCGCCGATGCTATCTTGGTAGCCGCAAGAAGATCATCAGGGGAATCCGCAGCGAGGAGGAGCACAAGGTCATCCATCCAACTCACATCGATTGGAGAAAGAGTACCCGCCTGAGGACCTTGCGGCTGCAACTCTCGAAACCAAGATTCGGCCCAAGGGAGCCACACCTGCAAACCAGCGGCGACGATGGCAGCTCTGACCTTTCTGAGAACGGCCCCGAAGAGAAATGAAAAGACGACGTCTGCCAGCGAGTCGCCAGGCCGTGTGCCTGATTCAACAACAGCCAGGCCGTCCCCGATAGTGAGCCAACTGTCAGATTGAAACTCACGAACGACAGCTGCTGCCCAGGGGGAGGCACCCGCTGGCTCGAGCAGCGACCCCTGGCTAACATACTCCCGAAGGAGCTGCAAATGGTCCGATGACAACCCGAAAGCATGCATCACAGATGCGAGGTGTGAATCACTAAGATCCCCGCCATGCACTAGTGGTCTCGCAACGCGGTGGAATGCTTCGCGCAGGTCAAGGAAAATGAGGGCTGTATTGCGTCCCTGCTGGAGGTGCCCCTGCTGGAACGCCCTCGCCGCTTGCGCTGCCAGGACAACAGGAAAACCTTTTCGCCCACCGACTTGCAAGGGTGTCGCGGCAACATCAAACCACTTACTGCATTTGCGCCTAAACGCACCATGGATGCTCTTACCAATTGTGCTCGACACGAGTATCCCACGGTAGCTCGTGCATTCCTCGAGGGCACCCTTGGCCTTCCAGAGATGCCTGACAGTACCGCCTTTGAACTGCAGGGGCTCCTGTAATCGAAAGGCAATTTTGAGCAAAATCGGATACAGAGCTGTGGCGAGAGGCGCCGCATAGAAGTGCAGGATGTCAGGTGGGATTCT